AATTTCTTCATACATTCAAGTCTTCTTTCTTTTAACACTGGTCACAGGACCCCAGCTACTTTAGAGACCTTTAATAAATGGGTGCCAGTTGTGTAATTTATTAAATTAAGACTCCTGTGTATTAAACTTTCAAAATTCCTTTGTAAAATCCATTCACTTGTGCAGACTTCTGTTTTTCTACTTTTAAGTTTGATCTTGTGAAAGTAAATTCTTTGAATTTTGAAACTCTTACGCAACGGTAAAATCAGGTCCTTGAAGGTATTTAGTTCAGTATCACTAGTTTTTGTCAATGTTAACCCTAACCCCCAAGGGTTGCTGGCCCTAACCTTCCCCATTCACCCATATGGGTCTAAGTGTAAACCATTGTCAGTCTATAGAGTACCAAAGCGTGGTGCCATTTAAACCAGGAAGTGTAGTGCAAAGGAATTTCATACGCGCGTGGGTGTTCATTCACACACTAGTTCTTCACGTGCTAATGCCTTGTACACGAATAATTGTGCACATAACATATTCACCAGCATTTGTGATTTATATGAACCTTTTGTAGGGTAAGTAATATTACATCTAGATGGTGAGCTGCCCCAGGTAATAATAGCATAATTCAAATAGGGTCAAACTAAGGAATTATACAATGTTACTAAAACCTTTGTGGAAGATAAAACCTTAAGCAATTCATAATGCCCATACTCTGGGATATTTTTGTAGCTTCCTCATCGATATGACATTTCCAAGTAAGATTTTCATCCATTGTTACACCCAGAAATGTTGTACTTTTAAACTGGGTCAACCTTGAATTGTTTAAGATCAAGTGGGCATTTTGTGTATACTTAAATTGATTTGAACAAAATATTATGTAATGTGATTTAGGGTATTAATACACAATTTGTTTGCTGAAAGCCACTCGTTAATTTTAGCAAGTTCCAAATTAAGGTTTTGGATTGCTTCATTTACATTATTGTGTATATACAACAAACTCGTATTATTGGCAAATCAATAAAATGTTGTACTGTTTGAGGTACTGTATATATCGTTGATGTAAAGTAGAAATAACAATGAACCTAACACAGAACCTCGTGGGACGCCACATGTGATTCCTCGACTGCTGGAATTAACAGATTTAAACGATATGTACTTCTCTCTATTAGAGGGAGAACTTTTTAAGTCCAGAACTGTACCACGGATACCATAATGCTTGAATTTTTGAATCAGAATATTGTGATTGCCAGTCAGGAATACACCAATGGAGAAATTCTAATTTACTAACAACATACGATAATGCCAATTCAGTAGAGCGTTTGGAACGTGGAACTTCATGTATAGAGTGGAATATTGGTAGATTCAGGAAGGTACATGTATACTGAATGAAATGCCCAAAGTGTTCATATTGAAATGTGATAACTTTTCTTTTGAATGATGGATGTTTTTGTGGAGACAGCTTCTCTTACATGGAAGCAGCAAGTCACAAAACAGGTTTTTGCAACTTAAGAACAAAAGGAAAGGACTTATTAATTCTCAACACTCCTTAACTTTCTATCCTTTGTTTTACTTGTTTCAATTCTCAATTGTCACAGCTTTGTACCCTCTCTACGGACGTGTTTAGAGCAGATCTGTGGCTACAGGTGTCTGCTTGCCGAGGTAGAGGCAATTAGGAAAGAAAATTATCAGTCCGTAAGACAAGACCACGAGGAGAAGCTCATCAAGGTGAGAATGTTTAGCATTTATCAGCTTGGGATTGATCTCTGTCATCAGTTCTAGTTATCACTTTTAAAATAATGCCCCGGCAGATTGTAATCCCATTCATCAAAATTTGTACTTTTTTGGTCAAGATAGCCCAAACAAGTCTGGAAGTTGATGAAGTTTAAACAATTTATTGAACCATTTTTTACTTCATGTTTTGTGAAGCTTGGCTATAGTATGTACACGCACACTTGTCAAAACAGAATCAAATGTTCCTCACATACAAAAAGCTAAACATCTCTTTATATATGTACAGTGTATGGAGATTATCGTCTTCAGAGCACATAACGCAGGATGCGCCACAGAATGCAGTGATTTTCAACAATGGTTTATCAGCAGGTTTAACCACAAATTTGATGGATTCTGGACCAATCGGAGTGCTCCAATCCTCTTGGGTGTCTGTTAATATCCATTTAGAGCCTAAAACACGAGGTGATTCAAACAGAATGAACTTGCCTTTTCAAAGTTGTGGTTGCTGGTATGGGTGAAGAATTGGATGAAACTGGCAATGTGCACAGTTCTGATAAAAAGTAATCCACTGGTGACTCAAATGGGAAATGTGTTATTCATTCCATGAGTCATACATTGTACAACACATACACCCATTCAAAACATGCACCCTCGATTGCCAAAGCTCTTCCACATTTAGCATGAAAGAGCCACTCACTCATGTTCTGTATAAAGCAGGAAGGTCGTCATTAAGACCCCTTTATAGTAATGGCATTTGAGGTACCTCCTATGCTTCTCCCCCCCCCCCCCCCCCNGTCATTAAGACCCCTTTATAGTAATGGCATTTGAGGTACCTCCTATGCTTCTCCCCCCCCCCCCCGCCGCCCCCACAAGAAAAAATTAGTGCTCATCCAACTTTGAAAAGATTGCATTCGATTTGTGATGATTCAGTGTTTTGTGCTTAAGCGGTGGAAATGGAAAGCATGTCTTCACCCTCAAGGTTTGTGTCCAAAAAACGCCAGCCCTAAGATTTGTCATCCATTGAACTGTTTGTCATAGACTTCAAGCACAATGGTCCAGTGGCTGTGGCGTCAGACTGCTACACAATGAAATTGCCATCTGGATGTGTATCGGTGTAAATGGGTTTGAACACCACCTGTCCTTGAGTGTCAAAGATAGACACTAACCATTGTTGACTGTGTGTGTTGTGGCGTACATTGTACGCCAAGTGGTGCTGTACACCCCACGGGTGATTAAAATGGCATGTCCCACATCACACTAGTCAACTGTATTCTTGTATTGTGCCAATGCATCAGAAAAATTGTATCAAATTGTAATAAAAGTCTTTGGTAACTGCAGGCTTTCCTGGTGGATTTGTGAGGCACTGTGCGGTTGCAGCTCTGGTTCTTAGTTGCAAGCTTGTGTGTGGTGCCCAGTTGCATCCATGTGTGAGATTAAGCATTGTACATGTACAATGTGTAAAACACCTAACTTGTGGCTGTTACAATGAAGTTACAGTGTCCAAGCCCACGGTGTAACCAAATTGTGTCACTTTAACACAGTGAACAAATGGTGGTGTCTGGAAGGGCGACATTGGTTAGTTTACAAACAGCATTCCTCCGTCTGAATTATTCTGTGGTCAACCATTTAAAACCCAATATATGTTATAAAGTGTAATTAGATGCTTTTCGTTTTCATTGTAGTCCAAGTTAACTCTTTCATGTTACAAAAAACCTTCAGGTTGGTTTTATTTGACCGTCTGTTTTCCTTCTTGGCCTGGTTAGTACGCACTCCAATTCAGACCTAAATATTGTAGCACTTTGCCTTTGCCCTTCGCGCAATAGTCCAACCAATGTTCTTAAACCAGCCTGACAACAACTTCCTGCGCAGCTGTGCGACTTGATCCAAGAAACATCCTCCATTCTGTATTCCTGTTGACAGCTTTGGAACCTGCTGATGCCTGACACACCGTTGGAGAACCGTATCAGCAAACAGTGGGGTATCATCGGATTCCAAGGAGATGACCCAGCCACAGACTTTCGGGGAATGGGTGAGACAAAAACAATTGCCGAGATATAAGTCACCTGCTGATGAGTCATTGTTGGTATTTTTGTCATTAGTTACCGTTCACAAGCAGTACACAGGAACGTAATGAGCGGTTTAAATCCTAAAACCACTCACTGTAGCAAATGTGGGTTCATGTCTAGCCAGGGGATCATGACTTTGTGTCCTTGAGCAACCCATTTTACCACACTTTAGTCATTTGATCTAAAAAAAAATCAAGAGTGCCTGCAGATTGTACATGTAAATTGAATCCTACCAGCTGTAATTTGTACTGTTGAGGACCCACCTTAAAATCATATGGGTACATATGAAGCCAGTGGCCCATCACACTTGTGTCCCTAGGCATGGCATTTTACTAGACTTGTCAGTGGAAGTATGAGGGCTCAAATCAAACTCGTGGATCCAGGTGATTTGGCACCTTTTTCAAGACTTTTGACCAATCTTGCATTCCGTCGTCTAAAAGTGTAATTCCTAAGCTTCAGTTCGAGTTATTCCGTTGATTTACTGACAAATCCTCCCCTCATTCACATGAATTGTTAGTGTTCTAATTGAAATGGTTCTGAAGACATTTGCTTGAATCCCAGCATCTCATCCTTTACTTTTATACTGGTATGTAAGTTTATGTGATCGTTTCTTTTTCTGTTGTTATTCATAGGTATGTTGGGGCTTCTTAATTTAATGTAAGTATTTTTTTACAATCTCAAAGCATTTTCTCAGAGATTTGGGAATTGTTAAACTTCAAAGCAAACATGATTGTGCACCTGTATGAAACTTCTTAAAATGAGTCACTTTGTTCATGACGGCCACAGATGTTCATATTTGTTAACTTTATTCTTCGATAGAATTGCAGTTGTTTTCAATTTCAAATCGGTATGAAAGGCTTGTGTCTTCCTTGAAAGGATTTTCATTTTGGTTCGTTACTAGATATTTTGCCGAGGCATACCACAAGGCTGCCAGACACGTCTTATCACATTCCCATCACCCAAAGTTTGGGTAAGTTTCTTTCAAGAAAAACTTTTGGGGGAGGGGATTAAGGTTGTTTTTTCTTGTTGTATTTTAATGGGGGGCTTTTACAAAGATCAAGAATATCTTGACACTCATGTACATGCATATATACCTCTTGTACAGTTTTTAATCTTGGACTCAGTGTAATGTTCTGTCTGACAAACTTTCTTCTAAATGATGTTGGACTGTACTTGAATAAGCATTACTTTGATAACTGTAGACAACGTGTACTCGGTCAGAAGTGTTCGGGGTTTTTTGGTTGTTTTTCCTGAAATGTTTGTGTTTCAACATTTTCACCTGTCAGCACCTTTCCTTAAAACACCCTGGAACTGATATCTCTCTTGCAGGTATTCCTATGCAGTGGTCGGTATCAATATGACCAGCATAGCGTATCATTTACTTCAAGACGACACCCTCAAGACGCACCTGTACAACCACGTCCAGGGCAGACCAACAGTACAGGACTTTCACCAGATTTACTGTAAGTTGACTTACCCCGTTCTGAACATGCAAACTCTGCCACGTGTAAAGATAGAGTGGACCATTTGCAGCTATCTGAAAAATAACTGATCAAATTCTCGTCAGGATCATTATTAAGATCATAATTGGCTTAAAGAAGTTATTTTGAAGGAAACAATAAAAGATCACTTCGGAAGATGTGTCAAATTATCATGAATCAGAAGAGATGCATAGGAAGTTGTAAATGCCCTATCAGTCGAAGTGGCATTTCACACATGCTGGAGCCTGCATTCCAATTTGTAATTGGTTAGGCATGGTACAAAACATTGATGTTAAAGGTTAAGTAATAAATAAAGCCCAGAAACACCGGCTCTTTCCTCCAAAATGTGGTGTACTTCCATAGCCATCTTACTTCATCAGGGTAGTGATTGACCACCCATCTTATGTTAGCAGTGTTGTCTCTACCAAAAAGCAAGCACAAATGACAAATGGTCCTATCACTTTCATAATATTTCAGTTTTCACGGTGTTGCCATGGGAACATCCCACTTAAGAATCTTCAGTGCCATAAACTATGATGCATTCATTCTTCCCTCCGAATACAGGCCATATTTTCTTCAACTTTGACACGTTCTGGTTGGCCGAGAAGCCCCGCGACATCATGGAGTTCAGTCGTGTTCGTGACAAATACGAAGAAAAGCTGAGGTGTGACCTTAGGCGAACCACAACTGTCCTCAAGTGCAACTTTGTTACGGAAGACTGATCTCGCATCTTGTCCTGGGTCTGCAAATTGTGGGCAGAGTTGAATGGTCGCATATTGGCTCAGGGCCATTTGTATCCTATAGCAAATTGTACTTTATTCAAATTGATTGTTGTTTGTACTGCCTCTATATTTTCAACAAACGGGTGGAAGCATTTATTGAAGAACTTATTTATATCAAGTATCGATGTTTGATGTTTCATTCTTAGAGTTTCTTAAAGTGTGCTTTTTATATCACTCCTTGCATTAAAAATTGACTTTTCACCTGAGGGAATATTTGTGTGTAATGTGTACAGAGTGTATGGTGATATATAGTAGATGCTTTTTTGCAAAACTGTAAAATCTTCACTGAAATACAGTGACGTGTTCAGACTCGGTTACAAACTGTACACCCACGATAGTTAGTCAGATGTCATGTGCTTTGACTTAATTCATGATAATAAATCATTGAGTGTAATCCTGTCAAGTAGCATCCACTGACAGCGTTGTAGTTGAGTCTGTCACAAGTCCATCTACAAATCCTTTCACAAGTTCAGTAACATGGAGTCGTCGTCATTGTTCATTCGAACAGTACCCAACTTGGCTTGGACTGTGATAGACTTGCAGGAACTAGAAGCGACTTGCAGTGGACTCGATTCCACGTACAGCACTGCCCGATGCATCTGTATATTGCTCAACTTTTAAGTGCTATCTCGAGCACTCCATTACCATACAGTGCAATTTCAAGTGTGCTCTCTGCTTTGTGTACAAGTCAGTAGAGACTAGGGGGCAATAAACCTTGGCTCCCATGCACATATGTTAAAGATTTGTGAAAGCAGTCACGCTTATGTACAACACCCAGGCAGAGCTTGTGGTTGTTGCCCTGAAGGAGGTTGTTTCAGGGGGGAACAAAGCTCTCATTGCTGTAGTTGTGTCACGTCTGTAAGGCCTGGTTGATTGCTTCAGGCGAGTGGGAAAGCACTGTGTGACGTCACAAAGCAGTTGCAGTGAAAGTCGCTCAAGTTGAAATGCATGTGTTGCAACTTTTGCAAATTCACAATGCAAATATTTGACTCGACGTCAAATATTTGCATTTATGTTTGCCTTTGCACTAATACAAGCATGAGCCGGCTTTTACATGCTGTAAAACCTTAAGTTGTAGTCAAGTATAATGTGGGGCCAAAAACCTTGCCATAAAATGATGTGTGGATCTTTTTGTGTTATGCATATGTTCATTTTTTCCCGAAATTTTAAAAGCGGTTGCATTTCCTCCGTATTGAATAGAGTTTGGATTAAAAATCTAAGTTCTCAGAGTGGCAGCAGGTTGTGGACCAAAATGTTACACTTATCAGGAATGCTTTTTGGCTTGATGTGGTATTTCAGGCCAGGATTAATCATTGTGAACTCCTGGTAGGGGGAGGTGTGTTGGGAGTTCTGGTAGATGAGTCTTTATCCACGGTATCCGGACTTCTCTTTCTCATAACATTGTTCATTTTTGACCAACTGCTTACAGCATGTCAATGATGTTACGTCCAGGTGTGCATGATTTTTATTCATTTAATGCTTTTGTACACTACATTAGCTGCTTACTACGGTCATGTGCCCAGGTTGAGTGATTCAACAAATAAATGGCACCTGTCCACTTAAAGTCACATTTGTCTACTTGGTCTTCATGCATCTTTTTACTTTCCTATTGGAAGGTTCAGTATGGTCACAGAATCTTGGTCTGCATATTTTTCTGAAGAAACAAACATTATAAACATGAGGGGGAACAACAGAATTTGAGGATTCATGTAACTTTTCTCTAGTAGCTCAACTTAGGACTTCTCACACTTGGATGGAAAATGGAAATCAGAAGTCCCCTAAAAAATTATCTTACTTTTACCCCAACCCCAAATCTTTGGGATATAGACTCCTGCCTCTCCACCCCGGTCTGCCAAAACATCTGTTCAGGTGCCAGCCAATTCACTGAATTCATTTTATAATCACAAGTCAGTCACATCCCTTGGACTTTCTTCATATAGAGCAAATTAAATAGACAAGGTTAAAGTACATTTTTTTTAATATCTAACAAATATTCAACAGAAAAGTGCACACACAGAAAAGTCGCCTGACACAACAAACTCTTATTTATTCCAACCAAATAATTTAAACTTTTTTGAAAACACGTTACAAGTACATGTATTCACAGATCGCAGTGCTCTTCTGAAGTAGCCATCACTGGGATATTATGGGTGTAAAATCCCAAACCAAACATGGTAAGTTATACCAGGCAAGATATGGGATGGAGGGGTAACCCCTCCCCCNTAATGACCAACACAAAGGCGGGGGGGGGGGTTCCTTAAGTCCCATATCTTGCTTCAAATGTGGTAAGTACAGTGTATGTCCTGGGACATTGGACTGGTCTTCAGTGACATGCTCCTGAAGGAATCTTATCTTGCAGATAAACCTGGAAACACTGCTCCTTACAAACAAAAAAAAGGAGACGTGCCACATTAAACTGGATTACTTAAAAACCACCCAAAGAAAGAATGAAACTTCCGGTCTGAAGCTTTTTCTTTCACTGCCTTTTCAACATAAAAGAGGATTCAATCAGAATTCTATCTGTTTTGTGTTGCATGGAATTGGAACTTGCTCCACATTTTCTGCAGGAGTCAAACAAGTTTACTGACAGAGAAAAACTGAATTTAAAGATGCCCCACACTAGATAATGTACACTCTGTTTCAGAAGAGAAAAATCCACCCCAAGAATTTCTTACAGGTCCGAGGTCTGCAACTTTGAGATTGAAATTCTAAGAAATGGAGGTGAAAGATAAAGCTAGGGATGGAGTGTTTCAATTCCTTGAATCTCTCTCATGAAAATCATTCAACATGCATTCCTCTCCTGATGATATTAGCCCCTGCCTTCAACTAGCATCCTAAACATAAGCAGAAAACCTTGCTGTGTTACATTAAATGCAATCCTCGCCCAATATTCATGGTCAATAAAAATGGACTCAACTTCCAAAATATTGGTTGATGCCCAGAATGCATAACCAACTTACCATGGATTCTTGACTGCTATCCCGCATGTTGACATTTGGCGAGCAATTTGTCTGGCAATAAATTGTGTCACCATGACAACGAGACAAATTACATGGAAATGTGTGACAGTGCCTACGCACTACAGCAAATTGCATCAGTAGCAAATGACTTTTTCTCATTATATTAAATTTTATGGCGAAACTGAACTTGCTGACGTCAGGAGCCCTGCACGATAGTTTACTATATGCTAAATTTTAAAGTTGAAACCTTTCATTAAAAAAGAAATGTACTTGACAAGCCTAGTTTGTTTTGAAGATGCTAACGACCATACCTGCAACAGAGAGGAAAATGTAAAAATCAACTATTAATAGGTCTCTAGTTACCTCATTCAAAATGACACTGGTACATGTTAAAACCTTGTCAATTTAAAGGCTGAACTGATGTTTGCTTTCTTTATGCAATATCCACCTGTTCTTCGGTAACTGTCACGCAATGACGACTTTTTTGCTCTGTCCAGTTATCCAATTATTATTAATTATATTGTTTCATTTGTCAACATGAGAGGTGGCGGGTCTACAGACTGTAGTTACCTATTATCACTTTTGTCATCCCTTGCTCAAATCGGGCAAACGTTTGTCCTTTGTTTATTATTTGTATGTTCTTTTGTATTTTGCTTTTCTGAATGTACTATTAAGCATATTTTAGTGTAGTAGCAGCAAATGAAATAATACTGCTACTAAGAAACAAAATTTAGTCAACAAAATGAAACTGATTAATCTGAGTTACTGGGCAACACCACATCCCAAACTGCATCAATGTGGACTTATAAAATATAATTGCTTTATATTTGTAGGAATGAGAGTTTAACTATGACCTCTGGATTATGTCAACATAAGGAAATATTTTGGGCTTTCTCAGAATACTCACTTTTGAAACTCCCATTCACGATTATCCAGTGGGCAGACTTGTCTCGTCTTCAGCCAGCGAGAGATACAATGGAAATGGAAAGCGTGCTGAAATCACATCAGAGAGAAAGTCTCCTTAATATGACAAAATAATTCAGATTATAGGGCCAGTCAGTAACCATTAAGCCCTTGTGTGCTCAGGCTTGGGGCAAAGATAACAAGATAAGAGTCAGACTGCTGGCCATATCAGCAATGCAGCTTAACTGAACACAAAAATGCTGTTCTGGAACTAGTCACTGCTTTGGTTTTCATATCCACTAAGGGAATCTGATTGGGTTAACATCTGATCGGTCTTGCTTGAACACAACAAACTGGTCAAATGGAAATCATCAACCCTCCAAGTTCTGGAAAAGTGCTAGTTCTTTCAAGGACCTATATGTAATTCAGCCTTTTCTCCCCTAGCAATTATCTGACACAGACATTATAAGTTACAGGTAGAACTTGGGTGAGTGACCCATTTTGCAGAAACTGGACACATTTTGGAGGGGTCCCTCCAAGTAAATGAACTGTTATTTACAATTTTCTAGCCGTTCTAGAGTGTTTCAAAGCTTTCTGAAGTCATTCAGTCATCCACCTGTTAGCAAAACTGGTTCTACATGTTGCAAGGTCATCTCACCATCTTCATCAATTTTGGTTTCAGACTCCAAGTGTTCAACTTTAGCTTGATCTTCAAATGCTGAAGTGCCTTTGCATTATAATCAACTGTCACTCCTTTTTCCCCGGCCTAAATGACATAAAATTTTGGAATAGACCACCACAAAACGGATACATACATTACACACTCCCCAGGCTACTGTACATTCTTCTGATGTTGCCGATGCCTGGTTGGCTTGACACTCTATACCTGTTCAACACAATCACACTCAAAAACTTCAATCCTAGATTTTCTTGAATCCTAAAGGCGCCTTTCCAATATGCACGTCAACACTTGCACCAAGCGTTGCGTATCCGTCAAAATCGCTCCCTGGGTGATTTTTAACGCAATGCACTCATGTGTTCTGTTAATGGAGTTGACATTTGTGTCTGTGAAAGTGAAATGCCTGAACGCATTGTGCACGTAACACACCCAAAGACACACATATGGAAAGGTGCCTTAACTCCCTTGTCATTTCTGCTATGTCCAGTGGACACTGAAATCCAACACTGTGCAAGAAATCAACAGGCCTATACACCAATGATGTTAAGCTTGGTTTACACATGCACACTGTCTCCGGGGATGACAAAGCTCAGTAGGAGTATGTGCATGTACATGTAAACAAAGCACGACATCATCATCATTACATAGACTGATTCCTCTTCATCCTTCAACTTTAGCCCTAACTCCCTAGGCCGCATGTAAAATCCTATTGAAATCAGATGATTTGGGACTGTTAGGGTTAAAAAACCATCTCCATGCAAAGAAACTGTGCCTGCACTCTGCCTTCCTGAAGCTTCAAACATCGATCCTCTTCCTGGAGACCAATTCTAGCTGCTAAATTTCAGTTTGAGGTAACTGTATGTTTTTACATGCTCACTTGCTTTATGTATAGTGTTAATAGATTTTCCTTTTCAGTATTGTGACCAAAGTTAGTTAATATTCCCTATTTGACAATTGCAAGTGACAGCAAGAACCTTGGCCAGAGTCTTGGTAGTTTAACTTTCCCTCTGGAAATCCTCCAAAATCTCCTGGTGGATTTTGAAGGATCTGGAAAGTTAGGGTTACTTCAAGACCTTTGGAATTTTTTTAACACTACATGTACAAATCTTACTCTCCCAAAATGCAACACTTGATGGCAAGAGCGGCACATTTTTTGTCCATGACTAGAATTGGGACACCCAAACCTCAAGTAATACACTTTGGAACTCTCCAGAATACTGCACGATTGGAGACTAGATTTCGATGGATATGGGATCGTAAGGTCCATGTCTGCAGCTTGGCACAAGACCAGACGCAAATTACTTTCAGGGTTTAAAATTTTATTGTAAGCACTACTGTAGAATTCACATTTTTGCTCAAATTAAAAGATCTTTCCTAGCAACAGATCAAATGAACCGTGGAAAGATCCATTATTGTAAAACCACGCAGACAGCACAGAAGCTTGAATAGTGAGTTTTTAGGCCCACTGCTTTGTTCTCAAAGGCTGACAGTTGATTAGCTCACAAAAAAGACATATTTTATTCATGCCATCAGCCTGCTGATTGTGTTTGACAAATGAAGGCTGACTTTCCAGCTTCAGTTATTTGCGAAAAAGCACATCCATCATAGAAGCGACAACTCACATAAATCCATGATGTGATTTCTACAGATGGCGCAATTGTCGACCACGATGTCCCATGCCCAGAGTGCAACAGCATTCCACTTCAAACGAAACATAGCAAAATGTTACAATTTCTACTGATGTACAACCAAGAAATTTCTCAACTTTTTAGGATTTGGAAGTCAGACATTCAAGAAGGAAAAGCAATGTAAAAATGTTGTGGTTTGAAAGAATCCTGATGGCTGAAGTGGACAACCTTCTACATATCAATACACTGCCGACTATCTCATGTGACATTTGAAAGATTTGAAAAATATTTTTAAGTCGGTCACTCAAACATCTGGGAAGTCTTGCCTGTAACTTACAAATTGAGCCAGTGAGAATGAGACTTCTTTGTAAATTGTTAATATCAAGTATTTTTGGGGGGATTTGGGGTACTGTTCGTTCCGGCAGCATGATCTATCCTACTCTTCTGAGCCAGTAACGTCATCCATCTGTTGAAGATTCAGGTCATTTTACGTGGACAGCACTTTGATATCCCATCACCAAGGGCCATTAAAAGACGGCTTGGCAACATGATCAACCCCCAAGACAATCTGAACATAACACAAACGTCCACGCTATTGAACACCTGAAGAACAGTTTTGCTACAAAGAAACTGTGTAGGTATGGATATCTTTGAGATAAAAGTACACCCACATCTATGACAGGCAAGTGTGCTACCTCATCTTCAAGAAAGTACTGTACTTGTACACGCTTTTGTTATTGAGTCGGGCTTCTAGTCTACAGTAATAAAACTAAAGAGGTACTGGCCTGTGGTCCATTTCAATTTTGAAGAAATTCAACTCACACTAAATTTCTGCAAAAATCAGGTCACAACGTCCTGGCAAATGTGTTGCAAGCAATAACTAAACCACAGAAAATTAGGATCCTAGTCCTATTTCCCAGTTAGCTTTTCTCCTATCTTTCAAACTGGATAGCACGTACATGTGATGGAATTTTTGTGTGTCCATAACATAAATGACTTGTAAGCATATTCTGGCAAATTCTATATAGGCTTTGCCAGGCAATGTCTACACTCCTCCTACTGCTGGAGTAATTCCCAGTGAGATGTATACACATACAAACGCCCCCCACCCAGGCAGTCGAGTGTAATGCCGTAGCTGGCTTCAAGGTGGGTTACGTGAGTGGGTATGTAGTGTGCAATTGTGAAATGAACACTTTACAAAAAGAAGTCAGCGGAATCATAGCGTTCATGAGATCAAGGCACTGACAAATTTAGTTGGCTGTTTTCCATGGCAACGTTTCTTTTTCTGGCCACACTGTACTGTCCACCAAACATAACAAAGTCCACTGATGACAGTCTACTTGGGAAAAACTGGCATCGTCTGAAGAAAACTTAGTTTGGAACCATATTTTCAAAACTTGATGTTTATAAAACTTGGGTGTCATGATGGACAGATAATTCTTTCCCACAGAGAGATACCAGTATTTGCTACACTGTATAGTGACCAGCCATGGTTCTTGGTCACTTGAGGGCTCCATGCACGTTCAGCCTTCACAGATTACTTCAAGCCTCATTTTGTGTTGATGTTGTGTATCGATGCTGTTATTAAAGTGTTAACTTATCAATGACAAGCCAACATAGTAAAATGTGAGCCTCTGCCTTGTATTTACGTTTCTTGACTAATTACCTTGCAGGGGTCGACATTAAGCTTGTTTGCCCAGAAGCTAAAAACAGCTCCTGGCCTTTCATATTTCACAGTTTTTTCAGCTGTTGCACCGAACCCAGCAAGCTCTCTCTTATATTATAGGAACAGGGTCCCCAAATTTACAACAATCCCCCATTTCTTTGATCAGTACGCACACGCATGTTCGTTACAGTTTTTTTCATTGGTTGCTATCTCCTATTTTGCGAAACTCCCGGATTTCCGTGCTACCCCATTCTTTGAAAACGGATTACACTTAGGCCTAGGCCTTATTTTTTTCATTTGAATTTGTATTGTAGTTCTGAAAAGAGCACTTTTTAATGTTTTCCTTCAGAGACTTCAGAGTTCAGTTACAGCGCGTCACATTGCCAAGCACGAGTTGGTCGGCGCACAAGTTGGTTGCCGTACGAGTGGGTCAACATAGGCCTACATTATTATTACGAGTTTGTCGGCATACGAGTTGACCAGCATTCAGCATGTCATGATGACCATGATGACATTGTTTGTCTGTCCATGGAGCTGGAGGAGGTCATACTAATCAGCATCAACACACGGCCAACACATTGATAGTAACGTCAACACACCGCCAACACTTACAAAATGCATTGTAAACAGAAAATAGACATATCTAACTGCAATGTATACACTTAGAAATAATTTGTCTGACCGAGAGGCAACATGGCTACCGTCTTTCAAGGCAGTGCGGAGGGTGTTATTTTCGTGAAATAAAACGGCTTTCCCCCCCAAATGTCGGTCACTGTTGTTAGCCAAATTGTATTTTAGGCATTATATTGCTATCAAATTGCGTTTCTGTTAACTTAGAACGTGATTTGGGTGTGTTGACGTTACTATCATGTGTTGACGCGTGTTGACGTTGTGTTGACCGCATGGAGGTGATTCTACCTCCATGGTCAGACAATGAATTTTGAACACACGTAAAACGTGCCAGTTCAGACCAAAATTTCAATCGGTTTCGCTCGTGTCTGAACCCAAATTGTGGGTACATATTATTCTCTGATCTCTCAATTTTAAGTTAAACCACACCTTTTTTACTTCAAACCGTTTCTTCTCTCCTTTACCGCTGCTTCCAGAGCTAGATGATGGAGGGTCTACGTCCATTGCCGTAGCCATTTTGTCTATATTTAGACATTACGCTATATCGATGAGGGCGCTATGACAAGTTTGTGGTCGTGCGCGTGCCGCCGTGCCGGCGCCTTATTAAGAAGGGCGGGGTTTCATAGAAACAGCTTCATATTGTTGAAGGGTCATCGACTCTTTGAACTTGAGTATCATATCTCTTGCAAAATCAAGAAAGGAATATAGGATTTTTACAACTAATTTCAACAAAAAAGGAGTCCAGTTTAAATTCTTGCATATTTTTTCGAGTTTGTTCAAATAATGGGGTTTCTTTTTCATAGTTGTCGCCTTCTATTTCGTCACAGTTTAGTTTTCATTTTCTTTTTATAGGCAATTAGGTTATTCTTACAAAGCACACTTATAAGCCTTTCGATTGCCAAAGATTCAAAATCCAGTGTTTTTGTTTGTTTGTTTATTTGTTTATTTTTTTTATTACAAACACATCAACAAGTATAACATCTCTATTTAGTCTAAAATACTTTGTTTAAAAATAGGCATCAGTAACGCATCTAACGAATATCTGAAATAAACAAAACCTGTGCCTCTAGGAAATAATGTGAATATTCGATCGTAAGCTATTTATGAATCAAACTGCTGAGTCTAAAAAAGTGGAAGTTTTCGTTATTCGGGAAAGGAAAGAGGTTGGACACACCAATCAACTCATAGGGTGTTTGTCGCCATGGTTACCGCAAGAAGGAAGCAGAGCATGGGCATGCTGGCAGACAGGGAAGCTGAAAACAAACAGAATTCGACAGTCTTAATTAACGAATTTCAACATTTAAAATTACGGAAAAGCTTCAAAAGTGCGTTTAGGTATAACATCGGCTTTGATACATTCGGGTTTATATATTGCATGATCTGAGCAGGAAAGACTACGTCCGAAGGTCAAGGCGGCGACTCGAAAAAGACGTTCACGTACGTGGAACGACAATCTACAGTGATGGTTACTCCTTGCCGCGGCCAGCTCATTCAGACGTCTCATCCTTGCAGGAGTTATAGGGATCGGAAGGGCCTGAGGTTTGGCGCGAATAAGGACGCATATAATGGAATATATTTTGCCTTATAGTCCTGTTTTCGTGGTTATGACACGTGACCTTCAAGGGTGCCCCCAACACTCACCCACCCACCCAAATCCAACTTAACCCCTATAGGTCCTGATACATACCCGATGCAGAGAGTGTATTCGATTCCATTCTCACCCAGTACACGTCGTGATTCTTCACAGCAGCCAGGCTAGATCGTTAAGAATAAAATGAGAACAACGATTAATCACACATTAAAAATGTGCCAACTTTTTCGAATTTGAATCATTTTTGACTAGTTGGTCCAGATCTTTGTCTAAAGCGACCAATTTAAATTAATCGGACAGGCCAATGACGAACATAAGACAAGGATAAGTCAAACATTAGTCAAATTTGACCAAAGTCAGTCACTGTTGACTCAAGTTTGCCCTGTCTTGGTTTTAGTAAGTCATCGACACCCAACTAACCTAAATTGCACACTCATATGACTAATTTTTTTATATGTCATTTGCTCAACTCTCGAACAAAATTAATATTGGTCAGGGCTTCCTTTTTGTTCAATTTCATCTGGTCATACGTCTGCAGAGTAAACAGTTATTTCAGACACTTTACTCGCCTGCATCCAACTTTCCAATTTCCATCGTGGAAGACGTTGGTTTTTGTGAACTTTTTTTCCCTCAGTGCGTATCGGGGAACGATAAAGTGATTCCTCTATTCAGTTAGACTCACATAAACTGGATTTTCCCAACGCTCGCCGCGGGCGCCTGCCATGTGAAGGACATGCCGGACTGTTTCTCCTCGGGCCCGGTGTGGGTGATGGAATCCCCAGTGGCGTTACAGGAGAGTAGCTTGCTGGCTCCGTCAGTACCGGCCAGGAAGCTGCCAACGGGTAGTGGGCTGCCTACGGTGCGGGCCTGGATGAGGAATCCTTGGAAGGTGATGTCTCGCGTCTTGGCGAGTATAGAAACTACAAAGGAAGTGGTCAAGACATCGAATTGTATTGGGCCTGAGAGTAAACTCTGAGATGGCCTCTTTACGGAAGATGGCGTTTGCAAAAAGTAAAAATAATTCAGGTTTTGATACAGAAGTTATGGTTTGCCCAACCACCGAATACCCCATCGCGGACCAAACAAAATGACTGACCAACCAACCGACCGAGGCAACCGACCGAGTGATCCAAATAACGCAGACAAATAAACACAAACAAAAACAAGCAAGGTCCCTAAACCAATCAACCAGTTACGAGGCACTGAAGACACAGAGATTATTGCCTGATCACTCGTCCTTTTTGACTCACCAGAGACTGTTCCGCCTGGAGTATACGTTGTCCCCTCAGCCACGATGCTGTACGGACTGATAGACTCCTGAGGCGCTATCACTAGGTCCGGGTCGGTGGTGCTACGATGTCTCGGGGCCATCGTCACGCACGCCTGGGATGCCGCCCCCGAGGGAAACACGTCGGCAACCGGGACCAGTACAACCAGAGCGCAGAAGGTAATGATGTGCAGGCTGTTCTTCATCTTAGAAAAGTTGAGCAGTTTGATCACAAAGATGCACCTACCTCTGATCAAATGTACTGATGGAATGATTTGGTTTATCCCACCAAACGTTCGTTCGGGACAACGGAGAGATTATTCATCTACAATTGCACATTTCCGCTACGCTCTTATTGTAAATAAGTTTTTTCCTAAGCTCTTACGTAACGGCTTAGGCAAATGGTCAGAACAGGAAAAAAAATTACTTCCTTGTTGGGTTGTGTCGGAAGACTAATTATAGATTATTCCTGCAATTATCTGTACAATGTGGGCAACTAACCGGCAATAAAAAGGCGGGAAACACGGCATTCTATACATTTAATAATAGGGTGCTCCAACATTAAGAATCGTCATGGGTATAAAAATTGTTCTTGTTTTGAACATCAATCAACTTTTATTATTGGCAGAGTTCAAATGTTCAAGTTTTCTCAACCATTCCAAAACTTCAGTTTCAGAAATATGATGCAAGAATAAAATTGGTACTTTTATTGAAGACAGTTGTCTCTTCTGGTGAATTGTCTGTGCCAAACGATAACGGAATCATTTTACTTACGCGCTCTGAAACTGGACATTTTGGCGTTTCAATTAACGCTATTGTTTATTTTTAAGAGGTAGGTATTCTAGCGCATTTTTGGTATTATGCTGATACGAATTTCCACATTCATCAACAAAAATGTGAGGGCATATAAAAAATCCTAACAAAAAAACTGCCACAATTTTTGCGAATTATTGCGGGTAAGTTTATGGCAATAGGTCAGTGCATGCACTTATCAGGTTGTCAAATAGTTTGCACACACAGAACAATTCATCGAATGGACCCTTTATAGGGGCACTGCAATACAATTCTTTTTATACAAACTTCCAAAATGCACCTTTTTGTCCCAGGTGACGTCATGTTCAGCTTTTTTTTTTTCACTATTTCTGAAGGTATTTTGCTGTCTTTTGATTATTATGCCAATGGTGATTTCTATATTCATGAGCAAAATTGTTACACTGGTTTGTGCATAAATGAATTGCTTAATTTTTAAAAAAAGATTTTGCTGGGCTAAATTTCCCTTCGATGATTCATTGCTGTGTAAGCACATGTAGTAACAAGCAAACAAGCAACCCTTTCCCAGGAATGTTTTCACCGAGTAAGCTCTGGATTCACAATTTTGAAGCAAGCCTATGCACTGAAACGTACCTTCCCTGTATGACACCACAGCAACAGCGCCCTCAGCAGGGAGAGTGTTGAACGTTTAAAAAGTTCATTTTCAATTCAGTTAACCCCAAACGGATGCCAAATAATATTCATACATTAAAGAACAGTATAAAGTGATCAAAAAGTTTAGTCTAAAAAAACTCACCGATCCTACCCTTTAAACACCCCCAAGTCCTTAGCAACTCCCACGGCATCAACAAACTCACACAACTTCACATCAGACCACCCATTCCCCTTCTCCCAACCTGAGCAGCCCAGCATGCTCTTGCAATCTCACAACCACATAAGATCTCCTGAATGCCAAGGAAACTGTACCATGCAAATCCTTTGTAATTAATTTCTCTCCTCATATATTTAATCATTCATATTCTTCCCAAACTCTGATCTGTGATAAAGGTATGAAAAGGTATCAAAAGCAACTTGGGAACAGAATACACGGTTACATACAATGCAAAAATATTCAAGGTGAGTTTACAGCTATTTAGAATGGTTGCCCGTCATGACATATTGCAGCAAGCACTAATGAGCCACACAACAGGTATGTTCACATGAAATGATTTTGAACATTTTATTCAAAATAAATAAACACTGCCTGCATGATTCTCTGACAGTTATCCAAATTCCTCCATACAAAGAAAATGGTAAAATGTTGACATACTCAAACTAAAAGCCAGTAAGCCTCTGCATAGGAAATTGGACGGGCTTGTTCCAGTCAATTTCAAACCTGTAAATCGTTTTTTTATGCTTATGTCTCAATATTTAGGTTGGCTAATTATTTGACTCCATAAAAGCACATTGCATATAGCAGATCAACGACTGACTGAGGATTTTCTGACTGTAGTTCTCTTAAAAAAAAAACCCAAACCGAAAACAAACAAAAAGTCCAAGTACACAAAATCTCATCTTCTTCTGATCTGTGCTCATGCTGTGAAAATCTGATATGTACAAATATGTCTCTGTAGCTGTGAAATTAAGGCAAATTAAATGACAACCCAAATTTTATAAACAGACGGCAGACTTGATCACCTCAAATACTGTACAATGATCAGAGCCATTTCTTAATACCCTGCAGTCTATGTTCCAGTCACCAGAACAAAAAAGGGACAATCTCTACACATCCTCCAGCCAATACACCTTTCCCACCAACCATTTTTGAGCAGTTGAAGTGACCCAGATAAGTCGTAAATCCTGTTCTCTATTAAGTTAGCTTCACAGTCTTGTTGTCTTGTTAAAACTTTAGTTTTTAAACCTGCATCCTCTGACTGATGCAGACTCTTAACAAATCAATTGAATCTGCAGTGCAATTGTCTCTTTTCTCAATTTTGCCAGCATTTTAGCAACTTTGTCATTTTCACAAAACTTGGACGACTATTCCAAGATTCTTAAGGATGAAATGCCAGTCCCTTCAACTGTTTAGTTCTTTTCTCCTTCACATCTCCAATTTAATGTTTGCCATTTCATGATGACTTCTTGGCCAGAGAAAGAAGATCTGGGACATTGGTGATCTGGAAATCAAGCAACATCTGCCCGTAGCCCTTGCCCTGTTGTGAGGAAAGAATCAAGAAACAAGTTTATTACGACATCCTCTTCAACAGTTTGACAGGTTGAGAGATATTAAGCTCAAGGCAAAAAGGAACTGTAACTCATTTTACCCACAAAATGGACTACAAAGAGAAGAGATCTAACAGCCCAAATCTCTTTTGGAACAAAACAGATCATGGTTCTGTAAAAACCGGTGTTTATCATGAGTCTGCCCCAAGTCTGGTAGCAGTACACTGCAACTCAATACACGAGTCCACTCGTGAGTCACAGGGGTGTACAATAACAAGAAATGCCAGTGTTACTGTTCATTTGAGTAGCCTGTGACTTGACTTGAGGCTAGATAGCTTTTTATGACCTTGTGATGGTTCTGTGATAGACAGGCCACAAACCTCTTCCTGCCAGGGTTAACAAAGGTAAGAGTTTGTGCTTACAGCAGACAATAATCTCAAATGAGGTGTTAGGGTTCCCATAAGTAAACAGGAGTGCCCTCAAAGTTTTGACTGGTGTGCTTGATCTTGTCTAGTCATAGCCAGAATACGACAGAGGATGAATATGATCATGGAAACCAAGCTACAGACCTGTGGGTCACTCCTTAAGGAAGCCACACCCCCGCCCCCCAGAGAGTTCCTCAACAGGAAGCTGAAACCGTTGATGCCAGGAAGTTCATATCTGAGGCAAAGATGGAGCAGATGGTTATTCCAAAAAATGATACAAGACTGTCAGTTGCATGGGTGCCAATGAAGGACCCATTGCATGTGTTGGTCAGCTTTTTTCAACTGAATGTGCACAAAGCACAGTATCATCACGTGAGAAGAAAGTCTTGGAGCATGGCCAAAAAAAATTCAGCTGTACTCAAGTGTTTATGTCTGTTGTTCATAGAGTAAGGTCTCTGTTGCATTAATTTGAAGGTTTAGCATCCTGATTTCTTCAAGGTTACAAAGGTGTTGTGCCTGAATTGGACATGTTTGTGTGTTCTCAAAACCATGCAAAATACAAAGCAAAAGATAGCTGCTTTGTAACAGCCAAATGTTGCTAAAATTGAACAAAATCTTGACAACATTCACTTAATTAATTTTAGATTTTTGCAGCAGGTGGGACTCGAACCCAAGACTTCCTGCTTGACTGCACTAGTAAGCAGGAAGTCATGGGTTCGAGTCCCGCCCGAGTATGCTTGTGTTTTTTTTTCACAAGCCTTTGAAGGCAAACACTGAGTATACAATGTTATAATACACGTCAAGCAGAGCAAAAATCTAAAATTAATTAACATCTCCCCGGCAAAAAACCCATCCTTGGAAATAACATTCACGTAACTGGAAGATTTTGAAAGTAGGACATCTTTATTCCTTGTTTTTTGACATTGAAAACGTCATTTGTGCTGCTAAAGCACTATTAATAAAAGTGAAATAGTTGACAAATTATACAATACTACAAAAAATATTCCCATTGCAAATTCATTAAGGGCAAAACTTGTTACCTTGATACAGGGTTGGGAGTATTGGGATCTATAAGATGCAGGAAATATTCTTGCACCGCGGCTGGTGTAAGTGCCTTCCTTAGGTATGGTACATAGGACACATGCCTGGCTATGACTCCTACAGCAGGGGAGAAAGTATATAGAGAAAAAAATCGATGGAACTTTGAGTTACACATCATTTTGTTTGCTTCTTGTCAAGATTTCACTTTAGCAGCAACCACCTTTAAATTTACAGAGTGTGAACTGATGCTTATTTTGCCTGTGGCTGTTGTCATGATATTGCCGAGTATTGAATTTATCATTATTTTAAAATCTTAAACATCTTTTCTAAAAGTAAACCTAATGTGCCATACATGTCACAAGTCAAAAAGTTCAATTTTACATTGACTGACTAGAGGTTTCTTAAAATACGTAATAAAACCACAGAAAAACAACCAACCAACCAACCAACGTAACACTGACTAAAGACTGTACCTATCGTTGCATTGTTTCCCTTATCCCCACTCCTTGTGTAGGCCAGTTCCCCCAGGCTGAAGCTGTGACTTCCCCCTTCAAGTACCTCCTCAGCTGGTGCTCCTGTCTCCTCTGCTGGTTGTGTATCTTGGGAGGCATCGGTGGTTGATGCCGTGATACTCTCTTCCTTACCATCCAGATGTACCTTAGCCTGTTCCACAAGGAGGTAGAATAAATTAGGCAAGTTACCGGTAAGTTGAAGTCGAGCCCATGCCAAGCCAAGTCCGTGGAAAATATATGCTTAGCGGGGATGTTGTGGACACCAAATACCAACCCAAAATCCTGGCATTGTATGCTGTTTCTCACTGGCTCCCAGTTAGTTTTATTCTCAGCATATAAATCTGCTTAGCAACCGTTTCAGAGAGTTTCTGCCTAAAAACTCTCTAAATATGGGTCCCCGGTGATATATTCCCACAGGAGTGTCTCCAAAATACCACTGGCTGATATAAAGTAGAAAGGACACAAATGGCTGTTTGACTTCCATCTATTTTGAAAAGTTTCAGTACCTAATAAACAGTGGAAAAAGGAAATCAGTAGATCCCTGGGAGTATTGCAAGTCTGTTATGAACTAACGCAGGATTTGTTTTACCTCTATTTGGTCTTTTGGATACAGGAATGAAAACAGCTTCAAGACGGGCGACCTGGAAAAAAGAACAGCAGAAGCCTGAAAACAACAAATGATTCTGTGCAGTTTTACACCATGAATCTTTTTTTAACCCATTACTGAGGACGTCAATGGAAACTAAATTCTTGCATTGAATTGAAAGAGCAATTGCCTCAACCGATTTGAAAACCTGTACTTAAAGGCCGAATTTTTCATTTCAGAGTTTGGATTTTTTTTTCACAAAAAGATCGTTATATTCACCCCCAAAAAGAAGTCCATAAGGATCACAAAGGAGGGAAAAATAAAATCACACGGCAGAGATCAAAAGAATGTCCAACGGAGAGCAGCTCTTTCAAGAGATATACATGAAATTGCGATAGCATGCATCGTAAGAAACGCCACCGCATTTTCCCTAAAAGATACGGCCATTCAAAATTGTTGACGATTTCCCCCATTTCACTTACACTCTTGGTCTGCCCCCTGCAATGCCCGTCAGACCAGGAGCTGTAAACAGACCATACACATGAACACTGGGTAAGATGAAGGTCAGGCACAAAGGCAAGATATTGTACAAACAGTGAAAGTTGATGAATTCAGTGGTATCAGGACTAATTTCATTAGGAGACAGGTTCTATTCCATGAGGTGAAGCCAAGGGCAATGGAACATTCAAGCGGAATGGAACATTCAATCATTCAATTCAATGCCCGAATGAATCCTCTTTGTGTACAAGTCTCTGGTTTACTTTATAAACTTGTCTCATGATCAAGAAATTTCTGTCTCAAAACTTTTCACGTTCGAAGCCATGATTGCGATTCTGTGCCTTTCCTGTGCATTGTTGAGAAGGGCTGCGAGGGAGCTTACTAAGGGCATGCATCTGGTTCAAAGGTCTATTTAATGGGATATGTTTAATGCCTGCACTGTCAAATATACTGAATAAGACAATGACATGTGATCGATGACAAGAAACCGATCAGATGACTAGATTTAAGTAGGTGTTGTGTAAGAACTGAAAAAAGTGCACAAGAAGTGCTAGAGTACAAGTCTGAAGATGCTCACCCATCCCTGTACCAGCAGGGGCAATTTCTCTTGAGAACACCTCCAGGGCGTTACGCTGGGAGTGCTCCACCGCCATCCACAGCACGATCTCCCTAGGGTTGATATCCCTGGCGCGGGGACCGTACGTCTGCTCTGAGCCCAGTATCTGGACATTGGTCTGTGTGTAGTCTTTCAGACCGAGGTGCTTGAACATGGTTCTAGTTCTGAGATTTGGAAACAGGAAAACAGCGCTTTCAATAATGCCTTGAACAAAAAAAATTGAGTAAACTGAACATCTCATTTGGACTACCCGTATTGTTTCAAATCTGAGGCTGTGTCCCAATTCGTTGGCTGAAGCTGAGAATTACACTTATTTCTATAGGAAAAAGATGACGCAGCCAGCTGGTGGCTTCCATAGGCACATGCACTTTTTCTAGCCATTGCCAAGAAATCCAAGCACAGTCGAACTGGGGACTAGGAACTAGCCCAACAGAGTAGGCTAAGAACTGAACTCCACATTCAAGGACAGGCAATGGTCTCGTGCATGCTGAAATTTCATTGGTTTCTGGGCACCACGATATTGCTTTGGATAAACACAGGAAGCTTTCTGAGAACTTTGGGTTACCTTTTAAGAATACTCTGTGCAGTCTTCCTGCCTTTCTCAGCAGCATTGGGCCCAGTGACTGGGCACACCGCAGTTGCTCTGAAGCCGTCAGCGTAAGTACCACTCACCTAACCACAGATAATGAATCACAGTCAATCTTTTAACCTTAACCCTTCTAGGTTCTTCAAAATTCATCTCAGAAGTTTTAGGAAGGATTCTGTAGGATTCAGGAAGGTATAAGCAAGCCATTAATGTAAAATACTGAAGCAAGCAGAAAGGCAAAGGTTTCCAACCAGATATAATGCATCATGAGGTTGCTCCTCAGCTAATGCCGTGTATACTCCAAGACAAAGAGCGGTAAAGTAGGGTTCAGTTGGCATGGCTTACCTTAGGTTAAAACGTACAGCCACCATCTGGATTCAAACCCTTGAACCTCTGAGCATGAGTCACAAACCGCAAACGTAGCTACTAGACCAAACTCCCTTAAATCACAGAAAGTGAGCTAGTTGTTTCTTGTGTGCACAGCAGAAGGGGGTGCAGACATTTTTTCTGCACAACTTACCGGTACAATGCAAACACTTGACTTTACTGCACCCTTTGGTCAAGCTGCTGATCACTTTTTATACTAACTAGCAGTCAAAGTAGCGAGGAAATCGTTAACTTAAGGTATGGTACTGCATAAACTATACAACAAACTGATTTACAATTGGACTAATCAGTAACTGGACAAAATAAAGAAAAATACAAGTAGTTTAGTACCTTATATTGTGAAGAGGGAGGCAAGCCCCTAGCCCCCGTCACTAACACAGCTCCATTAGGATCACCTGTATACGGCAATGCAGAAATTTCATTGTAAGATGCAGTCAGGTGGGGTTATAGGCAGATGTTGGGGGCTGAAATCTTGTCTAAACCTTTAGACCCTCAGTAATGAGCTCCGTCAGTCATTGAACGTGAAGACCATGAAAATATGTAGAACTTGAAGACAATGCAAATGTGCAATTCAACGTAATATATAGACAAATCCAACGACCAAAATTAGAGGCCGTTACTACTACGGGGCTGTCCTGTTCGCACACGGGCGGTGCGCACACGTGAAATTCCTCCCTGACCAAGAGACAGTAATCAATTGCCGAAGTGCGTGCTCAGGTTGAGACAGCTACGTAAGTGTAAATGGCCACTCGGAATGGCATCTCGTCGGATTTGTCTATAAGGAATACAACAGAATGCTCTGCCTTCATCAATGGACTTCACTGAAGCACTGCATGCTTAGCTCTTTCTGAGCGCTTTCAGAAACTTGCTCAGGTGAGATTAATATACACAAGAACACAATATGAAACAGGAATTTCAACATTTCTTTGGAAATGAATATCTAAAGCTAATAGTTTCTTCCCCAGTGAAAAGGTAAAAAAATAGCCTTATTAATGTGAGACATTTTATAATACGGAAAGCTTGGAGAATTTGGGGCTAGCAATGCCAATGAAATTGGCCTTTTTTCCATGGTTTCCCATGACTTGAATCTTGAGTTTAACAACACACTTCATTACAATCGAGGTATATTTTTCATAGTGCCATTTTGAAGTAGAGAGGGCTGATGATCAGTATTACTGTGCAGCAATTTGAGTGAAGCCTAAAATTTTTGTACCCACCTTCAATTTCTTGTAAGGTGACATTCCTGAAGTCGCATATCACATCTGGCAGTACGTACCGCCCTGGGTCTCCTAGCTCATACACAATCTGCTCGGCGATGGTTGCCTTGGAAACCAGCCCACCTGTGTTGGGAGATTTGGTGATGACGAATTGGCCGTCTGCCCCACACTCGACAATGGGAAAGCCGATGTTGTCCCAGCCGTCCACGAGGTGCCAGTCGGTGAAGATTCCGCCGGTAGCCTGCGCCCCACATTCAGCTATGTGACCAGCCAGGGAGGCTGATGCCAGACGTGTGTAGTCAGTTGGTTCCCAGCCAAACTACATCATGCGAAGCAAAATTACAAAACTTCAAAACTGTGTAGGCATTAAAAGAAAGACAAAACAGCAAAATTGTGATTAGTTGTTGGAAAGCCCAAATTCTGTATCATAAAAGGGCATTTAATTTGAGAGCAAAGCATATCTTATGACGCCAGTTTCTAACATGTACAGTGTGTTCGCAGGCATACGGCCATCCCGATTAGGTCGACCTTGGGAGCAGTGACGTTCTCAACATTGATGCACTTCAATTTGAACACGCACTGCTTTAATACCACACTCGTTCATTACAATAGCATGACGCTGTTCCATTTTTTGTTAATACAAAAAGTCAGACTGTCAAATGTGAGTTCAAAGTTCAACAGCAACAGACTAATCCCAAACTAAGAAAAATGATCGCAACGGTTTTCCAATGTGGTACAAAATATGGCATACAATTTGGCATAAATTTGTCTTTATATTGATAATACTTACAGTGTGCATAAGTGGTGCCAAGACCACAGCACTGTCTACACATCTGGCTGTTACTATGACCTCTGCACCCATGTCAAGGGCTTTTGTGATGGGACCGGCCCTATAAAGAAATGCACATTATTAAAAATGGGATAAATGTCTCCCAAAGAAGCTGTTGCAATCATGGAATCAGTTATGTAATTTGACACAAGAATTTCATTGGAACAATGTATTTAATATCAATATACACAGGAGACCCCAAAAAAGAGGCATTACCCGGACTTGAAAGTGTTTGCCTCAAAGCTGTGACTTGAAGGCCTTCAATTCCAACACCTCTGGCCTTGCTCAAATTTTTTTTCGATGGGAGAATTACTCAAACAAATTGAACAATGGGGGAAACTGGGAGCACATTGGAGGTTTTACGAAGCAAAACAGGACACCGAGCAAAACAGAATACAAAAAAACATCTTACCCAAGGTAAGCATTCATGCTGACTAAACTCTTTGGAGCTGGGATACCAGAGTCAATGTCTGTGGTTCCTGATGCAATGATCTCATCCCTCTTCAATATTTAACACAAATGAAAAGAATGAACAAAAATCCAAAGCAAAACTTATTGAACAACAAACAAAAGTAACTCCATTCCTATTTATACAGGATACGCATTTACAGTCGAATCTCGTCAATAAGAGCACTGTTAATACAAGATTCTGCTTAAAACAAGGAAATGTTTAGGTCCTAATCCTTTGTTTTTCATTCTTGACAATACAAGGTTCCTGTTATAACAAGGTAATTTGCCAAGCCTGAAGGACCTCTTTTTAATGAGGTTTAACTGAAAAGTGGGATAAGGGCAAGTCAAGATATTAACTACCTCTTCTTTCTTACCTGTTTCCTTCTCCCCGTCCGCATTTTTTCTCTATTTATAAATTTTTGTTTTACAACTTCTTATTTGCTTATCACAAAACACATAGCTTTAAACTTTAATCCAGCTATATGGAAGAAAGCTCCTTTACCTTAGACAGTATCGGAAACAAAGTGTCTGAAAAAACTGTGAGCTATCTTAAAAAATACAGTTTGATTAAAAAAATGTTAATTAAACAACTGTCTCTACCTTTTTTCTGAAAAACCTGGATGAGAAACTATTGTTTCTCTTTACTCAGCCTGAAGTCAAGTTATATAAGTTTGGTATGAATATCCCTTGGCAGGGTGCATGTTACTTGAATCTACTCCAAAACACAAACTCAAAATGAACCAGTGATATTGCAATTAGTCTTTTCAGTCAACAGGAGATTAGAGCTGTGTTAATCACCAGGCAACCCCAACTGAGTGTGTCTTCTTACCTTGTTCATGAGGTCATCGCCGATCACGACGGCAACCTTCAGTTCAATCCCTGCCTTCTTGGCAGCTTCCTGTACGGCTGCAGCGCAGGCGTGGGGGTTGACTCCGCCCGCGTTGCTCACCACACGGATGCCTTTCCTCTTGATGTCGTTGATCAGCGGGCCGATTGCAGCCTGAACAAAATCTGGAGCATAACCAAGATCCTGTGGAGAAACAAAAAATTAGTTGTTTTGTTGTGTTCACAATTTCACTTTATCAGTGGAAAAGAAATTCTGTTAAGCAGTCTTGAGGGATAAGAACCCCTGAGTAATGCTACAATATTGTTTCCCTGTGTGCACTTTCTTTTAAATGATGAACCCTCAAGATCTTCCTAGGTCCACTGGTAGCCTTGTAGGATTTTGGAAGATTGAGGAAGGTAAAGCCAAGCCTATATGGGGCTTGATAATCCAATGATGGGACTAAGAATACTTTTGTTTCCTGTAGCGGCTGTCAATGTAATTTGAAGCAAAACAACACTTAAAATATCATTTTTTTAAATATCATATTGAATGTTTGTGGGCTGCCTGAATGCCTTAACACTATTGCTGCTTTGACAAAAATGACGTATTACACTTGGTTAATCTTTGTGATAAAAATGCCGTCATTTTGTTGCAGTATGATTTTGCTTGTGTCAGAGGGATGTCTGAAGATCAAACAATTATCAAGAAAAACTTGATTAATCAGAGAGAAATAGGAGAAGGGGATTCAGGTGATTAGAACGTACTGGTTTTTTGTGTTTGGCTGCTGTGAGAAGTGACATGGTAATCTCAGAGAGGTAGTCAAACACCAGGAAGTCCAGCTGGCCATGATGAACGAGCTGTGGAGCTGGAAGAAATTAAATAAAACAGTGTACAATTCAATGCGGTCACAGCCACCGAACGTTGTTTCTTTCAGGAAACAGTTGTCGGCATGCATGTGTAGGCACAATGCATATTTTTGTGAATGGTCTGCTGGGACGGCGCGTCGCGACGTCATCTCCAGGATATTAACATACAGTTTCAATCACAATATGAGGAAGATGACGACTTTGAGCTCGGCTGATGAGCATTACTGATTTCAATGGTAAATTTCACTTTTTATCCCATATTTGAGTACACCTTATCACCTTCATTGTAATCTCTGATTCCCACTGAATCCAAAAGGAGCACAATAATGTTAGACAGTTTCAGGACTGTTTGGGGGGATGAATTCTGACAATTTTGACTCTGAGTTTTGACTTTGAGTGAAATGAATTACAATGTAATGGAATGGAAAGCCTATGGAAAGTGCTTGGACTTTACTGTCGCCCGACCATGTCCAAATTAATGTTTGAAAAGGCAAGTCATAGATTCCAAGTTATTCGGACTACCCCCTAAGTTACCCCCAGAACTGTGGGGTCCGACGTCCACTCCACTCCCACAGAAAATGAGCCTTTTCCGCCATAGGCTCTACATGACGTTTAACATGGCACGAAAAGGGATTCTATTCTAGTTGTGTACCCATAGAAATGCTGCTCCATTTCCCCCAACATTTCTATGTATGGTAGTTTACATACCTTTGTTCTGAGTACCAAGAAAAAATGGGCCAGAACCATAGCATTTTCAAAAAAAAAGTGCAAATATTTCCTGATCAGAGTCTGAGAGTCATGCAGTTCACATATGCACTTGCAAAGATGAGCCATGACCAAATGGTTGACTACGGCTCCGATTGATACACAAAGACATAGAAATTGGCTGCAGCTGCTTTCCATATGAGTGAGTGTAATTCTTAGCCGCACAGTTGGCTGGGGCTCACTGGGGATCACACTGACCAATCAAAAGGCTCCTCATCATTGATGCCGAATGGCAGGAATGACAAGCAAAGATTCCTGCCTGTCCGCATCCACCAGAATTACACACCCACTTACGGAAAGCGGCTGCAGCCTGCAGCAAATTTCCATATCCCTTGTATTGGTTGCAGCCGTAATCAACCATTCGGTTGTGGCTAGTCTAAGTAAGTACACATGTGAACTGCATGACTCTTGGATGCTGATTGGGAAATATTTGCACCTTTTTTTTTGAAAATGGCATGGTTTGGGCCCGTTTTTTCTTGGTACAAAGTACAAAGGTATGTAAGCTACCATACATGTACATAAAACTCTTGGGAGAAATGGAACAATTGGACCAGCAGGGCGGACGTCAGATCACACATTTCTGGGGGTACCCCTAAATTAAGTCCCTTGACATGTTCTACATCTCTAGCCCCCTACCCCCCCCAAAAATGTCCCTCCTTTCTTAAAATCTTGGGCACGATTGGGATTCAAGCATGTCAGAAATGTAAAAAGTGACCAATGTAGGCTAGTTATGTAAGCCTATGTAGGGTTATGGTGATGGAATTTTTCCAGTTGTGCAAAAAGGACAAAGATAGCACACACAGGCTATCGAGTGATTGCATAGACTGACCTACTGCCATCGCGCCCACCATGACCGGCCATGCCAACACCCTGACTGCAGTGTTAACGTAAACGGCAAATACCACTGAATCTTGCAGTTTGGATATCAGGCATTTAAGACATGCCTTGAAGTAGGGCTGTGGTAGCGACAGATAAGAGACAGATTGTAAAAGAGAGCCACTACAGCCCTATTTGTTAAGCTATGGTTAAGCCTATATGCTGCGCGTAGGCGCTAGGCCTACCTGCACAAGCAGTGTCGCCCCAGAATCCCGATGCATATCCAATCCTGGTTGTTCTCCCACCTAAAATTTCACTGAAGTTTCGTACACTAGACTGTAGTACACATGCAGAGAAGTGTTCAGGTTTTATTCGTTTGAGATTACTGGAAATTTTCCTGAATTTAGAAAGACCGCGCGAATTCAACACAAGCATGGACGCTGCCATGTTGAAAAATACTGAACTCTTTTCCATGCGCTAACTACAATCTACGTTCAGAAATTAGTCAGTCTTTGCTTCATACAACCTTGAGCGAAAGCGATACTAACAGACTTAAGTCAAGTCTATGTGTTTACGTTCACACAGCGCCCTCGGACGACGAGGAATTACATTTTCACTGGTACCCACACAGGTTTGTAACATGATTACAGTATGTTGCAGCATGTGTTGGTTACCACTGAAAGTTGGAGCTGGCGTATTTTCGTCTGCAAAAATTAGTGCGGTAAAATCAAAAAAGCTGTTTTCTTTAATATGTTTCGACATCCTGTCTTTCTTAAAAACAGAATCCTTAACAAACATTTGAAACTGTCCAGTTAATGATCTAAATATGGTGAAAAAGAAGATTAAATCCACAAAAAAGGGAAGAAAACGGGGTAAGTATTCGGCCTCGATCTGATCTGACGATCATTTGTTATTGACAGTACAACCAACCAAGTCAACCTGATCAATTTCAATCAAGTCAATGCCTAGAGTAGAGTATCAGCCTATCACTCAGGCATGCCAGACTTAACGTTAGCAGGTTATCACAGGAAAACACACTGTTTTTTTACCTTGCTCTATTGTCAGATGGTTAGCCTAACAAGTTCGGTTATTGCAATATGTCCACTGTCACTGAATAAACAACGAACATCACAAAATGTCCTCTTTACTTAGTTTCTTTAACATGACGGCGCGGCCTATTTTACACATGCTACACCCCAACTAATTCCTTGGTCCCAACTAAACTTGGGTTGGTCCCAACTATACTTTGGCCGGTCCCAACTGTGTGGAAAGCAATTTGCTCAGTACAACATTGAGACAAACACTGCACTTCGGTACCAGGACCAGCTTAGTTTGTCACCAGTTCTGTGACCAAGATGTCAAAACGTCAATTGAAATACATCCATAGGTGGGACTACTTGTTTTGCCCCAGCCCAACTGTGGCAGACATTGAAACAAACACTGTGTTTCAGTCTCAGGACCAGCTTAGTTTGTCTTCTGTGCAATTCAAGTGTACAGTATGCAGAAGCATAGCTCTTGGTAGATGCAGCAAAGGACAGAGAAGAAGTCGGTTACTTTGCTTGACTTCTTCCATAGATTGTACTTACAGCCAATAGAATGCTAGAATTTACAAGATGATCGTACCACTGATGCACAGTAACCCAACCATATATGTAGTTGAGATTTTCCAACTATGGTATCTCAGTTGGGACCGGTCCAGGTATAGTCAGGGCTGTGGCCATAGTTGGGGCATAACAGAGGCGTGACTTTTTGAGACTAACTTAGAATAAGGTTAAACTTTAGAGTTTCTTTTTATTTTCATATATGTTTCTAGGGCTCATGTTAGCCTTTTCTTCAACCAATGCTTGGAAAAGTTTCATCATAATACATGAATCAAGCATCATGTTCTGCCTTCTGACGTGCATGCAGAACATTCCACAAATGTGTGCGAGTTCTGAGACACTCCCTCATGGTAACCCTTCTGTGCGGTGTGATTTTTTCCCCTCTGTTATTACAGCTTTGAAAGAAGATGTTCATGCCACTACGAGTTTACCCCCGTCCGTTGAGGGCCAACTGAGATGTTTCCTCAGAGTCTGCATCAGCAAGATAGTGTGGCTCTCCGCCAAACCCCCCGACGCAACCCATGTCAGATTGAGATGGTGGGGTGAGATCTCCGAGGGGAGCATATTCAGGTAAGTGCAGGTTCTTTACCAAGGGAACTTGGGTGCGTGCCTTGAAGGAAGATATCAAAACAAGAAAGGTTTCATTTGGTATTTTATATCATTTTTATTTGTTTTAAATACATGTAGACCTTTTTGAATGTTCCATTTGGAAATGTTCCACTTGGAATGTTCCATTTGGAGTGTTCTACTTGGAGTGTTCCACTTGGAATGTTCCATTTTGAGTGTTCAATTTGGAACGTTCCGTTTGGAATGTTTCATTTGGAATGTTCCATTTGGAATGTTCTAACCTGTTTATGGAATATTCCATTTTAAAAACAGCACATTCTGTGTGGAAATACAGGATGCTTTTTTCCCTGATGGAAAAGACAAATACTGCACTCTCAGTATCCCTGAAATGTTTCATGTTGAGACAGCACATGCACCCAAATTGAACAGGCTGTACATTATATTTTGTTTCAGATATTCTGTTTGGCACCTTTCATTCTAATTGTCTCTGTTATCCTCAGACCATTGGATGTGAAGAACCCACAGAAGGTACCCACCAGAACTGTAGCCAGATACCCAGTGAGATGTGGGCCCAAGCAGTTTGCAGCATACCTCAGCGATATCCTTAAGATTTTAAATGAGCTTCATGAATGAGTTGCCAATAAATCTTGATAAAAAAACAGCATTTGTTTTTATTTATTGGATTGCAAATGTAGCATGAAATTTTGCAAGGTTAGTGGGTGAACAGTAAATAATGTTCCCCTACAATTAACATATCTAGGGTCTGAGAAAAAAATGTTTTTATCCATTATTTTCTTCTTAACACCTAAAAAAACACAATTGGGAAAAAAGTCAAATTTTCATTTTGTTTTTCGAAAATTACATTATTAGGAGTTTGTAATCAGACTAATGTAACTTTGGGTTGGTGATGAGCCTTCTCGTGAAATATGTGAATCTTTTCTCATTGGTTTTCCAAAGGTATCTTTTAAATCTGAAATCACTGTGGATAGTTAAAGATGATGGAATAATTCGTTTTCTTCGTTGCCTTGGAACACAAACAGAAATTATTTTACTTCAAGAACTGATAATGTTTCCTTGACGTCAAGTTGTTCACATATGGGAACACTCATTGTGGAGGTGTTGAAAGGACCCAACATGTCTTCCATTGGCAAAGCCCAGATCAATGAAATTGGACACCTTGCACCTCAAGTACCTATCAATGGGTAAGATTTGATGTTTCTGTTTTTGCTGAAGTTACCAATCAGGAAACACCCAGATATTGAAACAGAAAATAATTCCAACTTAAATGTGTACTGTAGCTTTACCAACTTACAAATGAAGGATATGTTTCTGTTCATATTGCAGTTAATGGGACAGTATTTATAAGTTGTCAGTAATGTGGACGGAAACATTTGATTACGGTCAGCAATAAATGTTAACACTAGGTTTTGATCTCTTTTAGGTTTTATTCAGTGTTCTCAAATAAGTCGGCAGACAAAATAGCAGAGCTGCATGTTTCACTGGTGTTTGAACCTTTGCCAGGTAAGTATGTTGTTCAAATATGTTTGTGATTTAATGCACTGGAAGGATAAAGACACAAGGGTGCTTTTGAATGAAAAAGTTTTCAACCAATTTGCTTCCATCACTGTCAGCACTTTTGATGAAGCATCGATGTATAGTAATGAAGGATTTCTCGAAATAGTAGTGGCAAAGTTGATTCGTATCAGCATCTGTAGTGATGATAGTTGAAATGTTAATATCCTATCGTGCAAAAAATGCAACTTAAACGTTCATCAAGAATTCAAAGAAAAGCCAAACTTTATATTTAGTGAGAGCGTGTCACAATTTCACAACACTGCCATACATTAACAGACCCAGGGTCCATTTTCACGGCGCTGCTTACCGCAAGCTAAAAATCGGCGCTTACCATAACAAAAAATTCTGTGCTTATGACCAACGTTTTTCACGTGTTAGCGAGGAATTCGGGCTTGTACGCATGCGTACATCCCATAACTAAGGATTCTGAGCTTAAAAGCTTAGTGCAGAATTTTTCTGCTAGCCAGGTCATCGCAGAAAGGAGATCGTAAGCGCAGAATTCTGTGGTAAGCAGCGCCACGAAATTGGGCCCAGATAATGACACCCCATTGATTGAGTAGATGATAATCCTCAACATTCATTGCCAAATACCGCTCTCTAGTATCGGGCTGTAATTCCTAACAAAAAGGTTCACAACATTCTAACGCAAAATTCTGGCCACCGTGTATCATGAAAATAATCTTTTGCTCACCTCAAGAGAACAAAGCTACGTATACGTGGTGCTGTTAATTGCTAATCAAAGTAATAACTCGTATAACTTATTTAATAATTATGTTCTTTGTGTATTAATATTCACACCAGCATGCCACTTGCTTATCAAGGAACCTTTCTTTCCATAGGCACATTTTTCAGTGCTTGTCATGGTCCCTATGCGCTGTGGAGATTGTTATACATTGAAATGTACAGGTTGGAAACACAGCAAATGGATGCGCATGTGGAATGGACCAAAACACGCACATATGGAAAGATGGCCTTGTCTCCTTGTAGTTTGAACCACTATGCACGACACCACTGCAACGTAAATCTTCTTAAATTATAACTGACGTCCATTGAGGGGGATACTACTGACATTTTTCTTGGACCTTAAATTCTTTCCGTTTTTCTCTGCACACAGCTGCCTACGATAGCTCCAGCTCTGTACCCACCACAGACCTGAGTGTTGCCACAGGCACGACCGCCGATTCTGCCTCGGTCCAGTCACAGCCGGCTAGGACCGGCCCTCCCCGGCCGGCTCCGAAACCACGCAGAGTGATATCCAGCTCCAGTGAAGATCCGTTCATGTCGCCAATACCAAAGGTAAGTGGTGGACAGAATCAGGAATGTTAGTTCCAAATAATGATCATATACTTTGTTTGATGTGTTGAGTTTTATTGAAGCATGTTTTTATTTCAAAAAATCCACCATTGATTTTCTCCACAGGATTGACTTTCGACTGATTCAAGAAAACCATTTGCATAAACACTTCTAGCTTAAGCACAGTGAACAGGTTTACATCTTCAGGCTGTATGAAGAATAATTAATATTAGCGTTGCATGTTGATGTAAAATTGTAAAAATGTTGTAATTTGCTCCTGTCATGGAACTACACCGTATTGACAAAGTTTCTGTGCTGCAGTGTTGCTAAAACATTCATCAGGCTCATAAAAATTGCAACAGAGATTTTGCTCACAAGTTTTTAAACATATTTGTTTATTCTTAGTTGCCATTTGAATTTCGGAACTTTTAGGATGGATACATGGATCTTCAAAGTAGAAGATCGTTTACAGTACATGTTTCAACTGCCTGACAGATTCCACACCATGAGAAACACCCCGAAACTCACCAGACCATCACACCACGAGGAGTGGATAATGACTACAGCTTTGTTGTTGGGCCTGGAAAGACAGATAAAGCCTCCGGTCAGAAGAAAGATCGAAGCAGGACTGAAGCAGAAACTGGTCTAGAGACGGCCATTTCTGCCTATGATTCAGTGATGAAAGGTCACAGTTCAGACACTGACCTTTCGAGACCAAGAGACGGGGAAATACATCTAGGTAACCTGAACCATTGAAATCTGGACTCAATATTTGAAGTGTCTACCAAAGTAGACGAAGACACTGCAGTATATAAGTGTCTGCAGTAGTGGGCAGTAGAGGAATTTTCAGGACCTCATAAAATGAAAAAAACATTATCATAGATGCCAAATAATGTTAAACCTCTTACTTTAAAAAGATGGAAGGCTTTTTTATCAGGATTACCATGTAGCTCATTTTCCCAATATAGCCATTAGTCAGTGCGTACATCGCATAAACCTCCCCAAACATAAAGTGGCAGCCAGGCCTTTCTTGGACAGCCATATGTTGTGTTTATAATTTTTATTTCTTCCTTTTTATGGTCATATTTAACAGAAAAGACAAAACAATCGGCTGCCCACTAAATGACACCTGATTGATAAACCTGATTGTTTCTCTGCTTGGCCTCATGCGATATAGGAAGTACTGAAGAGTTAGCAAGGAGGGAAATATCAGAACTGGTCTCCCCACGAAGGCACCGCCACCTGGACCCATCCAGCCAGCCAGGCAGTGACCTGATCTCGGCACTACTGGATCGGGGCACAAAGCTGAGAGACAACATGATTAGGTCCGAGCTAGACAGGGGCTCGTCGGCTGTGAAGGGAGGGTACCAGGGGCAACCGGAGACGATACACAGTGGCGTGCCGGTGGATGTTGTCAACGCTCGTGAAAACCGGCCAATGAGAAGGTATGAACCCTGCACTTTTGTTCATTCTTAAGAGAATTGCTATGTACATGGGTTATCAGTTAATAGAGGCCATTTCTTTGTATGCATCCTAAATCTGCCAAAATCCAACACAAGTGTTTTGATGGATATAGAAATAAATTGCTAAGGCACAACTTCTTTACACAGGGGCTGATGTCCCAGATGTTTGTCTACAGATAATATGCCCTTGACTTATTGCATGCCATTGGCTTTTGGAAGATTCATAGAGTAAGGGATTGAGGCACAATGTGATGAGATAGTCAGAGAAAAAGCCTCCAACTTGCCCTATGCAACGTAGGAACTGTTTGTAATTTGTTTAGGGTACTGGTATGAACCATCCTGTATATGATCTGTACAGATTAATTGTATCATTTCATTACCTCCTTTCAAAGACCCTTATATTATCAGCAAGTAATGTAGATACCTTTGATCTTGGAAGGAGACATCAAAGTTAATCATTTTACACCTGTTTTTTCATGTTCCCTTTAGTGCAGTGCAATTAATCAGTATTAATATGCATGTGCATCAGCTGATAATTGGTGATATTATTCCATGTCTTCCCCTGCACCTGTGTTAAAAATTACTAAGTCTGAAGCTGTCATGCAGATACTAAGTGGTACTGAGACTGGTGATTATAGACCACTTCTGGAGTAAACTTGATTTTTAGACTAATCTTCCTTTTTTTAACTGATATATCTTGTGAAAGACGTTCATCTGGAGAACTTTTCCGTGAGATCCTTCGCACTGGTGACAACCCACGTCCTACAGAGAATGGTTTTGAACACAGCATCACTGATGAACAGACTGTTGAGCTTCTCTTTGGCGATCGGATCTCTGCAAGAGAGCTGAACGACCTCAAAACATTGCAGGTAACAACTTTGTGTGATACTCAAAGGGTGACAATGTTGAAATCTTCTTGAAGTTGCACGAAAATCTAATAAGATGTTGTGAAATTATTGAAGTTGTTTGCACTGTTGTTTTTGTTGCTGAAATATTGCAGCTGTGTTGTCTATCTTTAGTTGGACTTTTCTGTGCCGAAACAAAATCTATTTGCATTGGCGTCTTTAAACTACACCAGTGTGCTAAGTGAACATGACCTCCAGAATTACCTTTGACCTCAAGCTGATCTCTGACCACCCACCCCGCAGTCTGAGCTGTCTCCTCAGTCCAGTGTCTCCTCTGAGAGTGATGCCATCAGTGAGACGGAGGATCCTCTCAGAGATCAGAGTATCCTGGAGGAACTTTTCTACAAGGGAGTGGTGAGATTCTTGGCCACACTGTCACAGTTTGGGGCTGAATAATTGGGTGACAGCTTTTGAAGGCTGTTTTTAATTTTAAAATCATCTGAAACGAATCCAGAGGAGATCTGTTGCTGTCATCTGTCAAACATTTTCCTGTTTACAAAAGTGAAGTTTGAGAAGTTTTAGGCCTCGGGACATCAGATGGGCCCCGATGAGGGTATAAAAGCCCACATTATTCCAGGTGATAATCACTTTCAGTCAGAGTTACTAGAACTAAATGTTTCTTGTTTCAGCCAAAATAAGACCCTTTGTTGGTCAACAAACTACACTGTTGAGAATGTATATTTTTCAGTCGATGCTATCTCCACAAACATAGTATTTACACAGGTATTCCAATCTTGTACCTTCATTGTAACTTGGCTAAATACCACTACAAAAGGAGTTTTACTTGGTAAAGTTGCAACACAGGACCATGAGTTCTCGTCATTTTCTTTCACGGACAGAGGAGCAGCGGTGACAGTAGTCTGAGTGATCCACTGAGCAGTGAGGAGGATGAGGATGATGCCAAGAAGCATCCGTCATCCAAGGCAAGGAGACGACGATGGTCTTATGAATCCTCCTTAAGCGATCCTGGCAATCAGGTATGAAGAGACCGCACTTTGGAGCGTTGGCCTCCTGCAATTACTGGAGAGGGTTACTTTGTTGCCCATCAGGGGGGCCCCGTTGTGCCAACATATTATTTGCCTGCAGCTGTGCTGATATGCCAAGGGATAATGTTATCCTTCACTGTTACAGAGACCTCCTTCAAGAAAAGACAAACAGCAACCTTCTGCGGATGACACCCCAAGGAAAGGTCAGGACAGCACTCCAAAAGAAAAAAGCCAGGAGCCCGTGGACAAAAGACATTCGCAGGCAGTGAGAACAAAAGACAATGTTCGACTCAGGAGACGGACCAGCAGTTTGAGCACGACTGGCAGTAGCGACACGGACATGGGGAGTACGTCCAGGGTGTCGGAAGGATCCAGGGTGTCCTTCCAAGAACCCCTCATAGAGAAGAAAGGTAGATACAGAGGCCTATTGGGAATGCCAGCATTGATCCAAACTGTCCACCTACACTGGCCCTTGTTGCCAGACTATCTTGTGCATTGATTTTGAAACCAAGGTTGTGCTACAAAAAAAACATGGCTGTCCCATAAGGCACTGTGCTTACTATGTACTGGGGAAAACACAACATTGACAGATACCGCTGTTTTAAACAGCTGTAATAAACGTCCCCTTTGGTTTCTAATTTGTTGCATGCAGTACACATCACTAATAACAATATATCCAACAGAATTCTGTGGATCCAAGATGTTCAATTTACATTCTACTGCCCCATTAGACACTGGTTTACTTCAGTTTGTTTGCTTGATATTGTTTCTTCTTGTGTCACATCCTCCAGTGAGTCCTGCTGATGGCTTGAGCGTTCAACGCCTCACCCTGCTGGGTAGAATCCACATTGCCCGAGTTATGATTGACTCTCTTACCTTCTGGACACCACCTCCAGTGAAAGCAGCAGATACAAAGCCCTCTAGAGGCAGCCGAGGGAGAGGCAGGCCCCCTAGGCCCTCCCCAAAACCAAAGACCAAAAAGTAAGTGTTTCTGAAGAGAAAAATATTATGGTTTCTATTTTAGTTGACTACTTTTAATTTTCTAGTAACTTTGGACAACATTATGGCAACACAAGCATGGTTTTATTGAAAGGATTTCCTGGATGAAATTTTCTAACACGAAAAGTCTGAATCAGTGTACATGTAATTCCAAAGAAGTAACTTTCTGCAATATTTCCCAGATAAAAAAAAACATAGAGCAAAAAGAAAGGCAGTGTTACCCATGTGTGTTCACATTTGGAAAGTCATAGGATTGTGACGTCATTCACGGAAACCATGGCCTTCATTGCCTTGCCATGAATCTCATCATAATGATCTTCTTAATATCAATTTGGACTGATTTGGCATATTGAGTAATGCAATTTTAACACATAAGCAAATTATATTCTACTGCTATTTTCCACGTTGAGTAACCACATGTGGGTACTTATCAAGTTTAAACAGCATATTTTTTTTCATGAACGTCTTGGTGTTGTTTCTCGTAAAACCATTCTGTAACAGAAACCGATTAAGATTGCGCATGAACCTCAGCAGTCGATAAAGTGACGCAGTTCTTCCTAATTTGTTAAGGATATGTCTATGGGATCAACCTTTATCTTGCAAAGAGGGAATGCCTTTAGAATCATCCTCTTTGCAATCTGTCGAAATGCCCGATTAAATACACAGTATATAATCACATTGAGGAAGCTGTTGCAAGCAGCTAGCCAGTGCACCACAAACTCGAGCAAGGAGGGCATAGTCGTTCCCTTCACAGCGAAAATGAGCCTCGAGAAAAGTGAAGGGGTCCAGCAGGCAGAAAAACCTAACGTAACGGTGAGGAAAGTCTGCAGAGCTTTGTTTTTGCATAGAGGCCGCTGGTTACCATTCTCTGATGTGGAGGAGTTCTCCTTGGCAAATTTCTCTGCGTGCTGCTTGCTGATTTTGATCAGTTTGTAATATATCACAGTCATCGAAAGGGCTGGGATCAGATCCGCAAGGCAGAGGAACAGTGCCTCAAGGTATGCCTTGCTGGTGTATTCCATGGTGCATATAGCTGTCACCTTGAAATAGAGGGATTCCTTGCCCAGTAATGGTGCGAGCGCGACAGTCAGAACAGACACTGTGCCGACGATAATCACCAGGATGATGACCCGGCGTTTGGAGCACCAAGTGTTGAATCGGTACGGCCACATGACGGCAACGAATCGTTCCATGTTGATCAGCACAATGGATGCGATTGACATCATGAAGCAAGCTGTGATGAGAAGACAGTGGAAGTTGCAGTAGGCGTCCCCAAACGGCCAGTAGTCCAAGGCCGAGGCCACGATGCTTGACCAGTGTAGGATGCCCACCGTGAGGTCGCATACAGCCAGTGTAGTCATTAGGACTTTAGTGCTGTCTGCTATGTCTGGCGTGTGATGTGTCACAGTTATAGAGAGAATATTGCCAGTGATGGTGAAGAGAAACACTACTACAATGAAGCAGGTTCGAAGGATTACGATGAACATGGGCAGTCCCTGCACTGTCTCTAGGGAATCCATTGGCATAGATTCATTCATAATGTTCAGCTGTTTGGGATTTCATGAACGATGTCGTATTCCTTCATGCATGCATCACCATCACTTTGGAACTCTCTTCCTCATCATATCAGAATTATCAAGAGCGAAAATGAATTTTAAATTCTCAAAACTTACTTGTTCCATTGGTTGTTCTTAATTGTTGTTTCTTGTAAAGCACATCGAGACCTTGGTGTGATGCGCTATATAAAAACTGCGTTCATATTATTATTAATATTGTTATTAACTAACTCCCATCCTTGTCAGTTTTATCGCAGCTGTTGATAGTCACTGTTACTACTATTGTTTTCAAGGTAGAGTTTTGTCGTAGCAATTTCTGTCTCTGCCATTTCCTACCTCTTCATGCACGCACAGTATGCACTGTGAAGCTGGAGGTGTCATTTTTATTTGCTCATTCTGTGGTAGATTCCTTTGCTGATCAAGAAAGCTGCATCTTGATTGGTCCTTTCTTGGACATAAACTGTCCCACAATGGTCCATGCTTAGCTGAGAGCTGTCCTCTGATTGGTACATTCCTTTAAAGAGTTGTCTCCCGAATTGTTCAATGGCTAGAACTGTTGCCAGGGTGAGGCCCCATTTTGGTGATGGCTGTACAGACTCCTATGGTCACTTCAGCTGTTTCTGAGACATCATCTGCGACAGAGACATCATCTGCGAGCAAGTGTCCTAATTCACCACCCAGTCTGTATCATTTTGTGCATCCCAGTGTGAATGTGGAACTCACTGTAAACAAATTTGATCAGAGCAGCTTTTGCATTTATGGTAGTTTGATCCTGGCATCACCAAAAATAGTTGACTCGGAGAGATCAAAGAACAGCACCAGACTTTGCACAGTCCCACATTCCAAATTGTGATGACCAGAGATGCTCCGGGAATGCAAGCCAGCTATGAAAGTCGTTTACCTTCTCTTACAGTCCAGTGATTGATTTGTTGCTCATGTGTCAACTTGGGTTCTCGATTACTCGTAACGAGTTTCATGCACGATTCTGTTCCAGTTTCGGCTGTAATAAATGGTATCTTAAATCAACACCAAATGAAGAGCCACCAGTTTGAATCACAACAAAACCAACAAATCGACCCAGTCACGTCTGTTTGCAGTCACAGTTCACATCAGCAAGATGCCACTGCATATTGAACAAATCTACAATGAAATGGTGTGTTGGCAATTGTGCGTGCAAGCAAACTCCTCTCCATGAGGCTCTGTCTAATATTGACACACTGCCCACGATTCCTGGTATTGATTAAACGGCAGTGCAGTGAAATAATTTCACGAAGACATCCAGGGATATTAGGCAATAAAGTGGAGTACAGCAATCACCATTCAGACTGTCTAATCATGACTCGTTTGTCTCTGTCAGTTGATGGGAGCATCGTTAATGAAATTGAAGTCCAGATGATATGTCATCTACATGTGTATTTCACTGCCCTCTGATTAGAGTTTTTGTTAAAGTCTGTCATTAATTGAAACTGTATGAAATTCTGGGAATGAATCAGCTTTTTTTTGACAAGTCATACATGTACACTGACAGTCACTGAAAAGACCACGTTTCATGTTCTGCTCGACTGGTGTTACCCAATGGCATTGCATTTATACGACCTGACCAATATCAAGCGACAAGTTAATCACTGAGGCATGGAATCAAATGACCAGTGTCTTATTTATCTGTCCCACAACTTAACACTGAAAGAGGAAATATGAAGAAGTGGAACCTTTTTCAGAGTGTCCAATTTTCAGCACGAAGAATGCATAGGTTTTCATTGACTGGCAGTGTACACGTAGATTTGAAGGTAAAAATCACAATCTTTATTTCTGGTATTTGTTCAGGTTATTTACATGTACATGTTCTGTGTCACATAATCTCATTTCCTCATGACAAAGGTTGAATACTGACAGCTGATATTTATGACAATTTCACCTGTTCTGGAGTTTTGTAATCATTTGTGGTCACTGAAGGGTAATACACATAAGTTCTGCTTAACCTTGTACAGTAGGTTGAACTTTGAAAAAAAAAAATCTCTTTACTATCGTTCATGTAGGTGCACTTGTTTGTCTCTAAACCTTAGCCACGATTAGTGTCCTGTTACTGTCCCCAGTGTCTCATCTAACCACCTGTCCGTCGGTCCTAAGGACAGGCAGAAACAAATTGGGACTAAAATTTGGCTCGTTCAAAATTTACACGTCCCCATTTTTACAAAAGTCTTTAATGCTGCTGAACAAGTCTCCACATTTTATTTTTCATTTCTGGAAATCTGATCTCAGATAGCACCAAGGGTTGTCGGTTTCAGAAATTTTCCTGCAAGAGGAGAGGCAGGTATTAATCTTGGCTGGGACGGCAAAGGCAGACTCTTTGAACCCAGATTGAACCTGCCATGTCCCCTTTAAAGGCTGACTGGCTATAACAATGTATCCACATATCACTTGTTTGAAAAGACCCTCCTCTGTTCTGACTTCTGAGAGCCACACATTCATCACTCTGTTTCAAATTGCTCCGTTGTATTCAGGTCATGATTGATACATGTACTCACACAGATATGTTTGTGTACGTGCTTGACATTTTGTAGTCCCAGATTTGTAGTTTGAAGTGTAGTCATGTAGTTTTTCATTTCTGTGTAAAACCTTTGGATTCTGGGGGGGCACTGGTGAGTGAAATATTAACAACAGACAGTGAGGTGAAGGAGATCGTTTGTTAGTATCATCCATCAGCTCCGCATGTCAATATGAGCAAGGGATGCCAGTTTTTAGACAAAAGCCCTGATTTCAGGCTTTTTATTTAATCTCAGCTGGATTTGTCCAGAGAAATTACAGCAAAAGGCCCTCCGCATTATCCTAACAAAGGACTTTTGCAGTACTAAGACTTTCAGTGAAATCTACTCCCAGACAGGCCAGCCACCGGTTTCTGTCAGACTTGAACAGCTTTTTGTTACATTTGGTCAATCGCACATTACATCAAACAACTACAGAGACTGGCTTCCACCCAACAGAAACAATAACCCTAGGAATGCAGACAAACCCTGCTCAATCACGTGTAGAACCAACAGGTATAAATATAGCCCCAGCAGGTATAAATATAGCCCCAGCAGGTATAAATATAGCCCCAACAGGTATATATAAAGCCCCAACAGGAATAAATGTAGCCCCAGCAAGTATAAATATAGCCCTAACAGGTATAAATATAGCCCCAACAGGCATAAATATAGCCCCAACAGGCATAAATATAGCTCCAACAGGTATAAATATAGCCCCAACAGGCATAAGTATAGCCCCAACAGGCATAAATATAGCTCCAACTGGTATAAATATAGCCCCAAACAGGCATAAATATAGCCCCAGCAGGTATACTTCTCAGGTATACTACTACACTTCTCAACACATGCAACTGAATTTATCTGTCCCAACATTGGTTGTGTCTTTTACATTTTTGTATTT